CTCAGTGCTAGCTCTCTCTTTTCCACTAGTGAGTGAGAGTTCATGTTGGATTTCCCCTGACTCACCTAGAAACTGGCCGTTGCCTTCAGCAGCAATCCTGCATGAGGAAGGACTGAACAATCCAGCCTTCCGGTAATGTGTGCTTTAAAGGCTTAAAATAGTTCCTGTATTTGTCACAATCTGGATTTCACAATAGCTCGGAGGTTGAGTCACAAACAAAGCCAAACAGCCTCTCCTGTCACCTGAACAGGCACCCCTTAGATCCATAAGCAGTTTCTCTATGCCTCTGCCATCTAGGAGTAATCCTGTTCATCCCCTATCCCTTGCTATTCAAAGTGTGTTTGGTAACAGCAAGTCCAGCACCCATCTTGCTCTAGAGGACTCCAGCAAGATCCTTTGCTTTGCATCCTGCTTGGCTCGTGGTGTTCCTTTCTGGAAGTGGTTTACTGGATAACTTTTATGGGGTATGTTTTCTGTTGTGGAATGCACATTCCAGACCCGTTTCTGCACAGACCTGTCACGGGGTCTCTGCAGTGCATTGATTTGCACAAAGGCTGGAAGTGTCCATAAGGACTTGTCAGGTTTGAAATGCCAAGGCTGTAATGAATGGAACTGTAGCTCAGCAGCACATCCTGGGCACTGTGCTGGCAGCTGGCTGCTCTGTTTGCTTAGTTTTAGTACTAAATTGCACTCCAGGGACAAATTATCCATGCCATTAAAACACCCAGGAGTGGAGGAGCTAAAAGATGATGGAACTGGATGAGTGCTTTTGACTGGCCAGCTGTAGGTCATAGACTGACATCAAACAGTTTCTGTTCTTGGAATCTCACCATCTTGGTGGGTCTTTTGTTCCTGTCCACAAGTTTCACTGGAAAAATGTGAAATGCCACAGATTCCCCTAAAGCTGCTCGTTTGGGGGTGTTCAAGCCGAGAACAGAAGCTCTCTCCCCATCTCTGCATTCTCTACCTGGGCTTTTGCTGGGACGGAGACCCTGTAATTAGGCTGGGGTTTGCAGAAGACTCGAGGCTTGTAATTCAACCTATATTTTGCAGGATTCCGTTTCAAACATCTTGCAAACTGTTGGTGAGTAGTGCTAGGGTGCTTTCTTGATAGTTCTTGGTTTTCTTCTTTCCTCCATATCATTGTCTCTTCCTTTTTTGGCATTTAAAGACAAGCCAAGAAGCAGCATGAGAGAAGTTTTCATGTCCCTTGCTGCAAGGTGAGGGCATGATCCCCCTTCAGGTAAAGGTGAAGCTGCAGAGAGGTTGGTGAAACCTTTCCTTCCCTTCTGCATCTCTTGCTGAGTGAGCAGCAGATACTGCCTCTTCTCAGCCTGGCACTATGCATCCCCTTGCTGTAAAGGTCATCAACCAGGCCTGCAGGTCACAGACTCGGAGCTGCTGATTGCTAGCTTGGCTTGCTGAGGGCAGAGTAGGCTGTGTTTTGCTTTGTGCTAACACCTGTGGGCAGATTCACATCCATTGCACAAGGATTAAGCAGAAATAAAGAAAGGGATTTAAACCCTGAAGCATCATCTCATGCCAGGGATATCTGAAACCAGCTCCGAGGGCTGGCAACGTTTGCCTTTGGCATACTTGGGATCGCAACAAACCTTCCTGGAAGAATATCTCTGTCGTAATACAACGTATGCAGGAAAATACCAGCAGAGAAGCTGCAGGAAAGCACCAGATGTGAATTGCAGCGAGGCTGCCTGGCGTACTTGGCCAAAACGTGACGCTGCCTGCACAAATGTGGCCTGCTGTGAGCAGCTTCGGGAGCTGGCTGGCTGCTGTGAGGGGCTGTGATGCAGCCGTCTGCCTGATGGCAGGCACCTGCCATTCCCAGGGAGGCTGAAGCCTGGTGTCACTGCTGGAGGACAAACAGATGGAGAGGAAATGGACAGAAGCCCCTTGGATTTCCAAAGCTCTTGTGGTGACAAACGTGACTTGCTGAGCTTTGTTCAGGAATGCACACGCCATACGGTGGGGATCTCCCTATGTCTTGTATGGTAGAAACGCTACAGGCTGGGTTTGGGCTCAGATTGGCTACAGACATCTCGGGAGCAGAGGAGCTGTGCAGGATGTGTGAGTGTTGGTCCTCTCAAAGGACTGGGACCACCAGTCTCCTCTCCACACTGCAGTGGGCAATGCCAGAGGAGATTAATTTTCCAGGATCTCCTTCCTATTTTACCTTTCTCTTCCATCCTTCAGGGCTAAGGGTCATTTTGATCCCTTCTGGGAAGTGCTGTGAGGGCACTCAGTTGTACCTGTGATGTTATCACAGGAGCAGGCACAGTACAGGGCTCATGCCTGCAGCACACCTACCCCTGTTAGCTTGCTGTTTCAGAAGTCGTGTTCTTGCTTCCTGGGTTTGTGTTGTCCGGAGCTGACTTCTCCTTGGAGATGGTGGTGTTGCTTTCACTGGTGTGACCAAGTGGTGTGACATCCCTGTGCCTGCTGGTCTCAGGGGATCTGGGACAGTGCAGTGCTCCTCTCCCCCTGGGGTGAAAACCCACCTCACGCAGCTCATGGGATTCCCTTCCATCCCCAAGCTGTGTCCCCTGCTAGAGTGGATGAGGAAATGGAGATGGACGGGTAAACACTCTCATTTGGGACTGTCCAATGTGATACAGAAAGGCAGCAGCTAATTCTCTTATGGATGTCTTTAAAGGCTGAACATCAGGCAGAACTTACATGGGCTTGTAGCTAGACAGGAAGCGATTGCTGGGGGTTGCTGGGTTGCTCACCCATTAGTAATGATGAATGAGGTCAGTCTGCCACAATGAACGTGTGGGCTGCAGTCACTCCCTCACCCACAGCTTGCAGCCGGGTTTGCAAACCCATGTCCTCCAGCTCAGCATCCAGCATCCCTGCACTTTTGCCTCTAGCAAGCCCAGAAGGGGGTCAGAGGTGGCAGAGTGGCTGCTGCAGTGGCTCCCTCAAGGCTTGAGAGTGAGAGCAAGTCAGTTCAGACCTCTCAGTAGGTGATGATGCTGTGGGCAACTGGGGCATGCTCTTCTGGGCTTTTTCAGGTGCCTGCAGGGCCCCAGCATCCTGGAAAGGCTGAGCTGGCCAGGACCCTGCCAATGGGAAGCGTGCGATGGCTGACCTCCAAGGGAAGCCCCACCTCTTCTCACAATATTTACTTCCCCTTCTTGGACCTCTCCCAACACCGTAAGTGCAGAGCAAACAGAGTGGGGCACCTCTTGCTCCGATTTGGAAGCACTCTGCTTTTCCCAATGCTTACTGTGCTCCGCATCTCCCGCTGCCCTGCTCTGTGTGTTCTCCTCTGGACATCTGGGTAAGATGGTAAGAAACAAACCACAGGAGCAAAAGAAACCAGCATGAGCTTCTGTCTTGAGACTGGGCAGCAAGCCCAGATGGAAATGGGTTTGTCCCCTGTGGTAAAGACAGAGCTGTCGATGCCAATTCATGCGAATGCAGCAAGGCTTCAAAACTCAGCAGAGGCTCAGGGGTCTTGACTTTCCTGACTACATTGTGTTGTTTTCCCCTTACTCCTTGCCCCCCTTCCCAGCCTACTCCTCAGTACACAGTTAAGCTATCACCTAACCTATATAAAACTGTTCACCGGAGCTTGCAGTGTACAGGAATTAATAATCCTGTAAACTTCTGTGTAGGTTTTTCCAAACACAGACATATAAACTACAGAGCAGTAAGGAAGTTCACAACCGGAGCTTGCCCGGCTCCTGCACTATTAGCACCTGCAGTGGGACTTCTTTCCCTGGGGGAGAGGCAGTCCAAAGTGAATGTGATGGAAGGAAAACAGGTAATGAACTGCAGCCATGGCATAAGGGCTTGCCTGTATCCATGGGGAGCAGAATGGGTGAGGTATAGGGATTTATCCTGCCCCTTGATCTGGTGATTCAATGTGGTGCTGGGCATGGCAGGGTGCTCCTGAGTAAACAGCTCCTGCGGGGCCCCCTCTACCAGCATGTGACACATCCTGGTGCACAGACTGTCTGGCAAACGCCCTTTTGGGGTTTTGTTGAAACTTCTGATTCTTGCACCAATTTGTACAAATTGCATTTGCGAAATGTGAACCTGCCCTGGCTGTTCTGGCAGAAGCCAATGGACAGTGCTGGGCAGATGATGCTGAAACAGTCCTCTATGGGAGCAGCTCCGTCCCTGCTCACAGGCACTTGCTGTTAGCCTAGTCTTTTGTCAGCTGCCTTTTCCTCATATGGGACTGGACACAAGAGGAGTGGGTGACAAGAAATGTGTCTGCAAATGCTTCCGGTGCAGCCTGGATTTACTGGCCTATTGCTGGTGTGTGGCCCCTGCAAGCAGAGCAGCACCTTCCTGGGTAGATTGCTGCTTGGGGAGGGGTGTCTGGGGGGAAGGAGGTCAGCAAGCTGGGACACACCTGTGGTGGTGTGAGGAATGGGGAGGGAAAGTCAGGAAAAGTTTTCCAACCCCTGGACATGGAGGTGTTGGTGGTTTTCTGCTTATTTGGTGAATAAGCTGGTTAAAGGGACAGTGTACAATGGAGGGGGCAGCTCAGAAAGCATGTGTACTATTGTTCTTACTGTGATCTGAAAAGCTTACTAATATGCACCATCAGGAATCCTGGCCAGTCCTGGGAAATCAAAATACATCCGTCTCGAATTTGTCTGGATTATCTGTGTACTCAAGACTGCTAGTAATTGGAACTGTCACCTTTGATATTATTGGAGAGCCTGATGCTACAAACAATAGGATGCATCTCCTTTTCTAAAAGCTTCTTTCTCTGCATGATGGGAAGTGGTGTGGGCACAGGAGGCTGGGAAGAGGATGCTTTGGCCCTGACACAGCATTCATCCTCTCTGCAAAGCTACAGGCAGGTTTAGGAAACAGAAATGACTTTGCATGTTTCTGCGCTTGTGGTGTGGCTGGTACCAGTCAAGCTGAGCATGAACTGGGAGAGAAGGACTTGTTCGAGTACTGTGTGCTCCTGGCTCTTCTTGCCTTTGTTGTACTCACACTGTTTTTTTTCCTTGCAGGCCAAGAACAAGGAAACCGGAGCTTTAGCGGCTGCCAAAGTCATTGAAACAAAGAGTGAAGATGAACTGGAGGATTACATGGTGGAGATTGAAATACTGGCAACCTGCGATCACCGGCACATCGTCAAGCTGCTGGGAGCCTTTTATTGGGATGGCAAGCTCTGGGTAAGAGGCTGTTGCTGTGTGTGACCTGTACAGCTGCACATTTCTGCCTGTGGCAGGGGTTGGAGCTGGATGAGCTTTAAGGTCCTTTCCAACCCAAACCGTTCTGTCATGCTATCAGTTTCAAAACCATCTTCGTGGCCAGGTCCTCTTCTCCTTCTTACAGCTATTGGCAAGTCAGGAGGGTCAAAGGGCGCGTTCAGCAGCTCTGTTACTCTTTCTTTCTCTTTTTAATCGGGCTTTATGGCCTCCCAGGGCAATCTTACCAGGGTTAAAAAGAGATCTCAGCTTTTGAGACCTGTACTTGTATCTTGAGCTGCCAGAGCTGTGGGTCTCTGCTTGTTAGGCAAGAGCCAAGGCCTGAGCCTCAGGGCCGTCACAGGAATAATGCAATCCATGTCTGGTTCATTCCTTGGTTAAGCAATGCAGAAGAGGTACTGTTCTATTGGGCAATGTGTGCTTATTCAGCTAGCGCCTTTTGCAGTGTCAGCATGCATCGGTGTCCCTTCTTATTTAAAAATCCATCACTAAAGCCCCCAGCCTCTCTGTGACATCCTGCTCAGAGGGCTGCCATAGCCAGCACCGAGCACTTCCTCCCATGCGTTGTCTTGCTTCAAGGGAGCTGGGCTGCAGGTTGCCTAGAGACTAGGTATTTGTGATGCCGAGCCCTGAGTGCGTTAAAGAATGAAGTAAATATGTACACTTCTCAGGAAGTGAAAGACAAACATCTCTCCTAGGAGGGGACTCACGACTTCGACATGTTGCAAATGCAGCAAAACTAATCTCAGCAAAATTAAAAAGGCAAACACAGGCAGAGCTTGGGTGAGAGGTGGGGCTGGTTTGTATTCCACTCTCTTCTGCTGGTTTCACCTCCCTGCTTTGTGCCCGGCCTGCACTGGCCTTGTTCATCCTATCTAAAATGTCAGCCCCCTCCCCTTTCCCCTTCCACCTCCTCCCTGCAAAAGGAAGCTTTGCCTTCCTTCCTGTATGGAAAATGGATTGCAGGGCTCCTCAGCTCTGCTTTTGTCTAAGAAGTGCTTTGTAATGTCATACGCTTGCCGACCTACTAAAATTAAAGCCTTTTTGAAGCGGCTGGAACAAGAGCCTCCTGTATGAGGCTTTCCCGTGAGGGTAGATATTACAGCTCTGTCCATTGTTTTGGGAGGAGGATCGTTCTCTTTATTTAATTATTTGAGTGGCATTTGCATTTCATTGCTCAGGCTGTTCTTATTAATGCTCCAGTGTTTTACTGGCTTTGAGGGAAGTAAATAAGTCAGGCTGTTATAATTCTGGAAGGCTTCTAGTTTTTAGCAGGTTTTCCTTCAAAGTCTTCCTCTTCTTGGTCGCTGGTGCTGCTGGGGAAAATTCGCATCTAAATGGAACACCAGTGTTCCTTGTCTTGTCCGTATGCCATCACCATTTCTTTGTGTGGTTGTTTTAGCCAGTGTTTTCCAGGACCGTTAGCAAATGATCCATTTGATGGGTGCATGGACTCTGCTGTACTTTTGGCTTCGTGTGGCTCAGGCTTTGAGTGTGTGCTGTGAGTGCGTGTCTGGTCAGTTGTTCCCTGTGGTTTCCTTGTCCTTGTAGCCTGGTGTGGAGAGACAATGTTCAAAGTGACACAGGGGCAGGAGTGGGACTGTGCAGACAGCCTGGCAAGGGGTCCAGATGTGCCCAGCCTCTTGGATGGCAGGAGCTCTTTGCCTTTGAGTAATTTACAGCTTGGTCTGAGCCAACAGCACAGAAGGGCTCAGCGCTGGGAAGGGCTGTTGCTAAATCAGCCCTTGTTGACTGTTCTCCGACTCTTCAACTAACAAGGAAAATATGTGAGGAAACCTGGTTTTCAGTGGTGGCTGCTGCTGCAGAAGTGTCCTTGTCCCCCTGAGCTGCGTTGGGTCCTCATGGCTCCTCGGTGCCAGGGTTTGGCTTTGTGCTTCAGTAACCAGAAGGTGACATGCAGTGTTTATGGAGCAGAAAACTTTTCTGTGCAAAGGGAAGTTCTTAACCCACAGCAGCTGCTTTGGAATCCATAGCACTGAAATGAAAGCACAAACCAGCAAATTCCTCATGCTTTTATACCTGGTGGGCATCAAACTGAAGAACCCCAGCTCTCACACAGGGCAGAGCAGAACCCCAGTGTGAACCACAGGCAAGGGCTTGGAGGACCCCAATGAGTCCACAGGAATATGACTGGTGAGACTACAGCATGCAGCATGATCTTCCTCAGCATATAAATACACTGCCGAGATGCTGTGCCCTCACCAGCAGATGCTGTCTCATTCTGTTCCCCTTTCATCTTCTTCTCATTGCTCATGGCAGAGGCCATGCAGTCTTGTGCTGGTTGAAAGCAGCCCAGGGATGGCAAAACTGCAGTCGCAGGAGTTTTCATGATTTTATTTGATTTTTATTATAAGCCCTGTGGCATTTGATGTTGTTTTGCATAAATCCCAGCTGCTGGAAATGGGGGCACCAAAGGAAAGCTGAGAATCTCATGCTATTAAACAAAAAAGAATCTGGTTTGAGTCCTTGTGGCTGGGCCACATCTTACAGCCCTTTTTCTGAAGAAGTGTGGAAACACAAAGGCAAACCCTCCTCGCCCAGTATACATGCAGCTTTAAAAAAGGAACCGTTTTAAGCTATTTTGTAACTGATGAATATGTCTAAGGTATGGGGTTTGGTTGCTTGCAATCAGTGGTGCTGGATTTACATTGATAATTATTAGTACATGAGAAAGAAAACCAACAGATCTTACGTGTTGTGTCTCTCTTGAGGGCTATGTGGTTTGTTGGTTGTTTTGGTTTGGTTTTTCCCCCCCTTCCAAAACAACACGAAGACTGAGACCTCAAAGGAAGGGAGGAACTTTTGATCTCCTGCTCCTGAATACTTCTGCTGCTTCCAAGTGTCCCCTCTTGCAGACACAGGAGCAGTAAGACAATAAGATGACTGGGGATGAGATTCATCCTCTGGAGTGATGAGCCCCAGCTTTCCTGTGGGAGATCTCTGCTCCGGGGGATGGTGGGCATCTCCACCAGACAACCAACACACTGATGAGTGGGGCAGGAAACCCAGGATTCCTCCTGCAGGATCCTGTCAATGCTCCTTAGGTTTGCAAGACGCTCTGGAAATTAGCTGTAATGTCAATTGGCCCCAGGTGTTTAACCACAGGACTCTCTCGGTGGTGGTACAACTTCCCTAGCAAAGCACTGGGGAGTTCTGTTCCCCCTCCCTCCTTTTCTGTAAACCATGGTTGCTATAGCACATGGGTTTTGAATAAGCAGACATTTCCTGGAGATCAAAGCAAAAACCGCTGCACCATGCAGGTAACCCTGCCTTGCCAGAGCATTTTGGGGATGGTTAATTTAATCAGCTTAGAGTTTCTTCTCACCAGCCTGCTGTGTGGGTATGTAACTCGTAGAGCTTGCAGATAGACACCAGCTTTGTAGCTTGTCTTTGTACTTCCCTTACAAAAAAGCCTTTTGCATTTTCTGTGGGCAGGCTCTGACCTGTTCAGCCAGGGACGTTTTGGATTGCTACCCCTTTGATATGGATGTTGACTGGAGATTTGGGCATTCTTGAAAATCCTGTATCGTAAAGAAATGTTCATTATCCCATGAACTAGACTGCTGGGCTATGTAAAGCATGTGCAGCTTTTAATCCTTAAGTTCAAAATACCTTTTCTTTAAAACAAACAATAAAGAAAGCTGATAACCCAACCAGATTCCCTAAGGTTTTCCTTAGCAGAGGAAGGCTGCAGAGAGAGCAGCCTGAGCTGTGGCTGGATGCCCACACGGGACCCTTCACGTGAATGCTGTTCCAGGCCAGGACTCTCCAAGCTTCTCAGTCATCTGTCCCCAAGGAATTCAAGGGCTATTCGGGTCCCTTTCAAATTTAACTTGGCAGGAGTGCTGCAGTCTAAACTGGCCCTTCCTGCTTGGCCTCCTGCTCCTGAGGCTTTGTACCAAATGTCCCCCTGAAGTGCTTGAACCTCCGCGGTTTCCAAGTGTCAAGCTGCGCATAGTGCTTGAGCATAGTGAAGGAGAGACCCATCAAAACAAAGTGAGCTTTGTTAAACATCTAGCCAGTGTCCTGGAGGAGCAACCCCTTCTGTTCTATTCCTCCTTTCTCCCAACTGCAGAAGCTTAAACCCATGCCAGGTTTGGCTGTACCCTGAGAGCCCCCAGGAGCACGCAGCGCTGTGTTGCTCGCCAGGCCATGCTCTGGTACCCATGAACTGCTGCAGGATAAGCATGGAGGTCTAAGTCGTCTTCTGCCCTCCTCTCTGCCGTAAAGCTGGGCAGTGGGTTGCATGAGAGCAACACATCTGCTCTGGTTTGTGAACGTGAGCTTTAGCATTCAGGTCCCTGGCAAGTCACTGGAACTGTTATTTCTGGGTAAAACTGGGGCTTTCCCTTAAAGCAAGGATGGAATTGGAGTGATTTTGATCAACCACCAAGAATGACTTATGCAGCAGGCAAATTGCCATAGCCCAGCCAAGTTCAAGAGCACTTCTTCTACAGGTAGTAACATGACAATGCAGACTAGAATAGAAGCCTTTTGTCTACCATCCTTTATAGAGGGTAATGTTACAAGACAAGGTTATTGAAACAATAATAATGCCTTGGAATTACATACCCTTGTCATCTATACTCCATGGAATGTTTTATAAAAGAGACCTGGTGTTGTTATCCTGGTTATTAGAAGGGGGAGTGGAGGCACAGACAAGAATTTGCCTAAAGTTTACCCAGCAGGTAAATGGTACTTGGGAATAAGTCTTATGTGCTGAATCCCAGTCAGGGGTTATAACCATGAGGCTATAGTTTTATGAAAAGAAAGCAGCAGACAAGAAGCCCATAGGCAAATCAGCTTTCAAAGCACTTTAAAACTTTGGTTTTAGAAATGTATTGCAATAAGCCACGTTCCCACTTGGCTGGCTTACCCAGGGAAATGCTAAGGAATGGTGTTTGCATATAGATGAATACTTATGAACTATCTATGTATAAGAG